AAATAATATAATTAGTTTTATCTACATTTAATGATAATTTATTAAGTTTAAACTAAGTTTGTATTTTAACATATTCTGTTTGCATCATATCTAATATCCATTCTAGATTTTTACCAAAACAAAAAAAGTAGTGTCGTCTGCAAATAAAACATTTAAGCAACCCTGACAAATTTTAAAATGTTCTCTGGTTATAGGATGAAACTTCATCTTCTTAACAAGTCAGGTTCCTCTAACAGAAACCTAAAAATACTCACATTTATAATATTATTTTACACACAGTAGGTCTAAATATTAATCAGACATTTATAATATTATTTTACACTGTGTAGGTCTAATAATTAATCAGAGGACAAAGTAATATTTCAGTGTTTCCCCTACCATTATACAGGCGGGGCGCCCCTCTAAGAATTTCACGGCATGCAGTCATTTTTATTTAAATAAGGCCAGATCAAGTCGAGAGCTATTTTTGCATCCCTCCATATCCAACTCTCGCCAATCTTGGGGAAAAAGATGGCGCAGAGAGAGCTGAGCTCTGTGTGTGGTCCTCACAAAGATAGGAAGACGTGTGTGAGATTAGACGCGCAGATCTGCTTTTAATCACGTTGCACCGATGCGACAGTTTTGTACGCTACTTTTTCTTTCTTTAAAAGAAAATGCGACTGGTGAAGCCACAGCATGGTTACTACCTTATCAATAATTACTGCCTTTTTTTCTTTCTCTGTGGGTGGGGGGTCAGCTTCACTCAGCTGCAGGTGAACACCTCCCGCGTTTCCTGGACTATTTTCCACCGAGGATTACGTCGTATTTTTTATTTATTATATTTCAAAAAGCACTACGCAGCATTTCCCCCTGTGTGTTTACGTCACGAGCGCAACAAAACCACAACGGATCAGCTGACTGTTTTTAAAGCGAGGTGCAGTGAACATGTCCACCTGCAGCGCAGCTCCAACCAGCCCGGGACATAAGAGTTCATACATGTCAACCCCTTCAGACGTTTAACGCGTTTAATGAGCATCAAAAATCTGTAATTTGCGCAAAAAAATCAGTATTAATCACGTGGGTGGGGTGGAGGTGCGCTGACCACAGCTGCACGGGGTGGGGAGGAGGAGGAGGGTCTTTTAAAGACGTGTCTACATTTGACTTTTGTTTTTTCTAAAATCACAGAGTTCTCTGAGTCATCTTCAGATGTTTGTAGTTAATCATAATACCTTCTAAATTTAACCAGGTGTTTTCAATGCCTTTAAATTACACAATCATTTTACAGCAGAAACTTGTCAGTTTGGTTAAAAAACAGTATTTTCTTTTCTGTGCAGAGAACTTCCTCTGCTATAATTTATGTAAAATAAATATATCAAAGT